ATTCCGCCCTTTATTTTCTTATAAAACTGGCAGGGACGAAGATATTTTGCAATTTTTTTGAAAAACCTTGGGTCATAAGTGTTCGGGTCATTTGTGTCACGACGAGGTAGAATCAAGCGCTCGTCAGTTTTTTGTCATCTGGAGTTAAATGGTGTCATCCAAAAGACTGTTCGTTTAACCATCTTTTGATGAAAAAAATCACTTATCTTGAATAGAAGTCGAGATATTTTGCAAATTAAGGTGGTCTGGGTGGGGGGGTTTCGGTGTCCGAGCTAGGGGGGATTTAAAGGGCAAAGGGAGGCAAATTCCCCGGAGGACCTAAACCCTCTCCGGGGGGTCCTTAAAAAGTAATAATATGAATAATAATGATACATCAATACGTGAGCTCGTGCACAATACATACACACATTTATACTTCATACCCGGGGTATGATTGGGGGGGGGGGGGAGGGGGTCTCGTGGTCTAGAAGCACAGTGTTCGCCTCTCATTCATTAGGTCGCAGTTTCGAAACCTTACCTCGACGGAATAGTTTCTTCAGCAAAAAAAATGCTCACCTTTCACCTCCTTTCCTACTCTCTAATTTTTTTATATTTCTTTTTTGGTCCTCCGCTATCATCTTCACTTTCTGCCCCCCCCCCCCCCTCCCCTTGGCTCTTCCTCGGGGATCCTGACTATCGGAGGTCCCGTGTGCAAGTTGCGCACATTAAAAATCCCTTGATAGTTTCAAAATCGATATGAGTAGGCGTTAGTCGCAACCCAGGCAAACTTCAAAAGTAACTCCTACCAAACTGAAATTCTCATATGACCTTATTACTATGCAGTTGCGAGCGCCGTAGAACACACACAAAAAGAAACCTTCATACTCATACAAATTCGTCAGACGTAGACATCGCTGCTGTCGAAGCACTAGCTCGACTTTATCTGTGGCGCTACAGACAGACTTCAACATAAGTTAAGGACCACCTTGACAGACAGCCCTGATTTTTTTTTAATCTGATAAAAAAGACAGCAAGGAATATTTCAAAATTGTTTGCTCTGAAAGTGTTAATGGGCTACCAATGCATACTGCAAAGCTTCCTAAAGGGGCAAGCCAAATTTGCTTGGGGTGGGGGGGAATCGACTTGTGTGCTACACCACGGACATTCTTCAGTTAAAATTTCTGGTGTACGTCATAAAAGGACGTATGGTCTCGAACTGTGCTCACTTTTGTGGCAATATAAGCTGCCGTTTGCCAAAATCCAGTGTCGCATCAACATGCCACCAAGACCAAAGCTTGAGGCAGTGCCATCAAACCACTGGATCAGTCCAAAAACGCCCACATGCAGGTCAACTTAAGGAGACCACTCAGAGCGTTTGCAAGTGGTCCTTAACTAATGTTGAAACCGGTATTATGGTTCTGGTCAACATCGGCTGACGCAGGCCTTCCACTACAATTGCTATTGTTTTGTTTTTGTTGTTGTTGTTGTTGTTATTGTTGGGAGGGGGGAGGGGCTAGTTTTTTTTGGGGGGGTCCTGTTTTGGCTTTTGTTGTTGCTGTTGTTGTTGCTATTGTTGTTGTTGTTGTTGTTGTTGTTTTAGGGGGTTTTTTATCATTACCTTCACATACGCAAATAAGTCCTGGCCCGAGCCAGTTCTCGGTTAATAAACAATTTTTTCCACTGTCGTCGTATAGATCACACTTCGTTAAAAAAATATATATAAAAAATAATGACATAAAGGTGTTCAGTTGGAATTTTTGGCTTTACACAACTTGAAGAGCGACAGGTGAAAAAAGTGAACGAGTGCAAAAATGTCGTCTCCGAAATAAAGAGTATTATTGACTGGTGCTTCGCTGTTTTTTCCTACAATTGCTGCTAACGTAACGGTTTGTGCCAGTACGTGGCGGAGTCAGGTGCTCATAAAATTTTGGGTCATTGGGAGTTATTGGTGTCACCTGACTGTTTGTTCATTTGTCTTGCTTTTCATGAAAAAACACCCTTCTGTCTTGAAACAGAAGTCAGGATATTTGTGACTGAAGCAGGTGGGGACAGTCTGGTATCAGAAGTAAAATTAGCGAGAAAAAGGTAGCCAAAGTTTGGTGACTCCCAAAGCTTAAGTGTCCGTGGAAATTACAAATTTACATAAATTGTTTGTACCTTTGATCAACGAATTTCAGTAATATCCACTCAGAAACATACTTTTAAATAGACTGAAAATAAAGTTGTAAACTGTTGAGCAGCCCCCTCCCCCGACACCTATACACACACACACACACACACACACACACACACACACACACACAGCGCGCGCGCGCGCCACACTCACATATACAAACAAAAAACAGAAAAAAGAGAGAAAAAACCCCCACCAACAACAACAACAAATTTTATTCATTTATATATATTAATATTATCGAAAAAAATTGCCCATTGGGTGGGGTAAAAGTTCCGATTTCTTTGATTTAATTCGTATTACATTCTTTTTGACAAGCAGCTGATTTCACAACGATGCCACTCATTGCTTCCACTCATTGCTTCCACTCATTGCTTCCACTCATTGCTTCCACTCATTGCTTCTCCCTCAGGCCATTTTTCAGTGCAAGCATCCGTGAAGCCATCTCCGACTACGCGCTGCCCTTGGCCGTCCTATTTTCTACTGTCATCGGCTCCTTCTTCTTTTCCGCCGTCTTCCGTGAGTCAAATATACTGCCGGTACAGGTAGCTTTATTGAATGAAGGACTTATTTCTTTGATCTATTAATCCGATTTCATACTCTTTTTTCCCTAACCCGTGGTCTTCAAAATTGGTGTGTGTGTGTGTGTGTGTGTGTGGGGGGGGGGGGGGGTCGGGGGTGTATGTAAATATGTGTCCATTTAGCCACCGTGTTTGGTAAAATGCTGAGAAAATATATCTTTTGGGGAAAGGGAGGGGGACAAACAAATAGGGATTAAGCTTGGGGAGAGAAAA